TCTATATGGGAAAGCCCTGAACCCTGACTGCAAAAGCAGCAGAAAGTTCCCAGATTTCTCCATTGGGGCCTCCCTCTAACTTCTGCCCAGCCAGAAACATTCTCAGACTTTCTCTGGAATAGGATGCATGGTAGGGCATTAGGGTTTCAGGGGAATCTCACATAAGAAGGGACAGATGAAGTTACGACGGCAAGCAGAGAAGCCACAGACAGAACACTCACCGAGTGGGAGGCCCTGTGCTAAGCACTTCACATGCATTACTCTTCTGATCAGTGAGGGCCACGCTGTTATCACTGCCATCTTGCAGGTGACACCCAAGTACAACAGAACCAGAGTCAACCTAGTTCTCATGATAAGTCCATGTTCTTAATCATTATGCCCTGAACTGACTGATATATCAATATATTCCAGGTGAATTAATCAACTGGATGGTGAAAATGACTTCTAGAAAACAGAAGTATATCAACAGCTTGAATAACTGAGGGGCAGCTACAGGTCAGAATGTACTCACTTTTAGAAATACTTATCACTGGCTGAATCAGTCATGAGAGGGAAGTGAACAAAGCATGCTTCTCCACACAAAAGCTTTATAGTCTCTGCATCTGAGAGGACCCCTCTCTCCCTTCTCCGCCCACGACAGAAAAACTGCTAGGCTGCTCTAGTAGTTGGCCTTACTTATTCATGGATTCGTCTTCCCTCATCCATAGAAAAGGTGAATTTTATTCTTCCTTTGTCTGAATTCTGTGTTTTGCAATGCTTCACTTCTATCAAGTGTTAGTCTGACCATTCCCCCTTGCGAAATGGAATTCAGGGAGCAACAGTGTATGGTGCACAACAAAATTCTAGGCTTCACACTGCTCCTTCACCCTACAGCTCTCACCAGTTAGGGAATTTCCTATTTCTGTCTCGATCTACGGTGTCCACGTCAGATTTCCTACCTGGTCAGTGTACTGGGCACACCAGAAGCTATGTATTTTTTTTTTTTTTTTTAAGAATTTACTTATTTATTTGAGAGAGATAGCATAAGCAGGGGAAGGGCAGAGGGAGAAGGAGAAGCAGACTCCCTGCTGAGCAGGGAGCCCAACATGGGGCTTGATCCCAGGACTCCAAGATCATGATCTGCGCTGAAGTCAGATGCTTAACTGACTGAGCCACCCAGGCGCCCCTATGTCCCTATGTATTATTCTTAACCCCAGGAACCACCCCCCGCCAATTTATATATATCTATATATAATGTACTAGGTAAATAGTCCCAAGGGAATTTTAGCAAGTGAATTATGGAACTGAAATGGAATTTAATCCATGAAGAGTTGACGGCATTATTCCCTCCGCAGCACCAGATGGCAGTGTTGCCCAACAAGTGTACTATCTGTGCGCAGGGCTGCTGATGGCTTTAAGATAATTTTAGTCAAACACATGGCTTCTGACATTATCCAGATTCCAATATTCTACAAAGTTCTGTCACTGTGGTCTAGAAAATGGACTTTGAGAGGGATGTGCGAATGAAGGTGCTCCTCAGAGGGTCTAATTCTCTGTGTGTCCACTTCAATCCTGTGTGTCCACAGATCTGTCACTGGTGCTTTTGCTGGAAGGCTGAGCATGCACAGCTCATCACTCCCTTCATCTTTCAATGGACAGTGTTTTATGGCTCTTAAGGCATTCTTCTGGGTCCACTTCTTCACCGCCCATCTGTTGTTAACTTGGCTTGAAAGCTTATTACACAGTCTTTAATGTATAATACAATAGAATCTGTGCATGAAAATAATTGTCCTTAAACTTAATGACTACGATTCCTTTTCGGTGCAGTTACCCTATTTGTGACAAATGAACTCAGTTGTTATTGCTTTTAAGACAGTGGAAATTTTGTATCTCTTTATCTGGGTGGTGGTTACAATGTTTAAAAGTTACATCTTTAGAAAGTTATAAGGTTTACACTTGAGATTTGAATTTGTTTACTATGTGTTAATTATACACCAGTAAGAAAATGCTCATATCCTAAAGTAGCCAGATTTTTACAAAATTACCCTGGGTCTCACTTTTCACACACACACACAATAATGATATTAATGCTAGCTTCATCTCACGGTTATATAATTTCTGTGTGAAGAGCTATTTTCTGTACAGTAAAAATGATGCTAACACCAGGTGCCACGGGACTTAAGAAACAAAGCTAAGGGTATTCTGTCTGTTTTTACTTGCATGGAAATTTCTGCACAGTTACTGTTTCCTCTCTGCCTTTCTTTCCCTGGCCGTGGCCACAGGTATTGCTCCAACCTGCTCCCGTGCCCATTTAGGCAAGAAGAGCGCGGCCTGGCACCTGCCAGACTCTCAAGAGACAAGGCTGCTCTGCCGCAGTGCTGAGGCCAGACTCCAGATACTGGGCTCGGCATTGGCAACTTTTTTGTCTGTCTTTTCAGAAAGCAGGCACTGATTCCGCAAGCCTAATTTTAACTATAATAGGGATTTGTAATAGGAAACCTCTTCTATCCGAAGGTTTGTGTTCTAAATGGTTCTCTGGGTCTTGGATCTGTTCCTTCATTTGGTTCTCACAGTCGCTCTGGGAGTTAGGCAGCACAAGAATCCTTAATCCCAGGACTCAGAAAGGAAAGGGGAAGTGACTCATGAATCAAAGAGGGGATGTGACTGGCCCAGTGAACATTCGGGCTGATACACCAGACAAGAAGGAACACAGGGATGCTGTTCCTTCTCTCCCTCAACATTTATTTTGTAAAAACTAGATGTTACATCACAACTGTTAACATACGTTTGACCTTCAGAACTCTAAATGCAAATACAGTAAAAATGGAGCATGGGAATGCAGTACAAAAAATCTGGCTTGGGGCGCCTGGGTGGCTCAGTGGGTTAAAGCCTCTGCCTTCGGCTCAGGTCATGATCCCAGGGTTCTGGGATCAAGCCTCACATCTGGCTCTCTGCTCTGTGGGGAGCCTGTTCCTCCTCTCTCTCTGCCTGCTTCTCTGCCTGCTTGTGATCTCTGTCTAATAAATAAATAAAATCTAAAAAAAAAAAACAAAACCTCGCTTAAATTATCACCTAAATACTTAAAAACATTATGGATACATTGCTGATGGGAATGTTAATGGCACAGCATCTCTGGAAAACTCTATGGCAGTTTCTTAATAAACTAACACATGGTATTACCAAGTGACCCACATTTGCATACCTACCATTTTCCCCAGAGAAATGGAAATCTGTGTACAAACACCTGTGCACAAGTGTTCAAAAACCTATGCACAAATGTTCACAGAAGCTTTACTCGCAATAGCTAAAAAGTGAAAACAACCCAGATGTTCCTTCAACAGGCAAATGGTTAGAAATGGTTAAACAAATCTTGGTACTCCTACTTGACTGGGCAGCAGAATAAAAGAGAATAAAGAGAACACACTACTGATAAACCCAATAATTTCAATGACATCTCCAGGAATCATGCTGAGTGAAGAAAGACACTCCCAAAAGGTTATATATTATATAATTCCATTTATGTAACTTTCTTGAAATGACATTATAGAATGGGGGACAGACTAGTGGCTGCCAGGGCTAGGGATGGGAGGAGGGGAAAGGCAGGAAGGTGTGACGGGGAGTCAATAAAAGGGCAACACGAAAGACCCTTGTGTTGATGTAAGTCTTCAGGATCTTGACCATTGGGGTGGATACACAGAGCTATGCAGAACATTAAATCACACAGAGATACATACATGCACATACACACAGAAATGAATGTGAAGACAACTGAGCAAATGTGAGCCACATGGGCAGACTTTGTCAATATCCTGGCTGTGATGCTGTACTTTACTCTGCAAGCTGTCGTCAGTGTGGAATGGGTAAAGGGTATGTGGGATCTGTCTGTATTATTTTTTGTAATTGCACGTTTATCTGTAATTATCTCAAAGTAAAAAGATTAGTTAAAAAACTATGGGTTTTGGGGTGCCTGGGTGGCTCAGTCAGTTAAGTGGCTGCCTTCAGTTCAGGTCATGATCCCAGGGTCCTAGGATCGAGTCCCACATCAGGCTCCCTGCTCAGCAGAGAGCCTGCTTCTCCCTCTCCCTCTGCCTGCAGCTCTGCCTACTTGTGCTCTCTCTCTGTCAAATAAATAAATAAAATCTTAAAAAACAAAAAACGAAAAACAAAACCATGGGTTTTTGCACTTGGTATCTGTTCATTTACCAAGTCATCAGCTATAAAGAAAACTAATTCAGTCAATAAACACGATAGATGCTAGGTGCTGAAAACATGGCAATGAACAAGACAGGCAAAACTGTCTGTCCCTATGGAGCTTACACTTAGGTGGGGAGGAGACACAGTATGCCCAGTAAAGAGTATCACAAACCTTGATAGCTGGTGAAGCCATAGGGAGAAAATAAGATAGAGGACAGCAGTAAGGCAGGATTGTTCCGGTGACCAGACAAGGCTTCACCCGTATGGAGGACACTTGAGACTTGAAAGAAGAAAGGGAGCAAACCCTGTCTGGGAGGAAAGTATTCAACAAAATGGGGAATAGCAAGTGCAAAGGCCTGTCCTGAGGCAGGGGTGAGTCTGGCACATGCATGGAAAGGCAGAAGAGCCAACGAGGCTGGGGCCAAGTGAGCAAGGCAGAGAGAGAAGATGAGGCACGGGTTGGGGGCCAGAGCAGGTCGGGCCTGGGGGACCCCTGGCATGGCTGATTCAGTGAGAGGGGGCACCACTGGAATGTTTTAAGCAGAGGAACACCATAATCTCACTTAGGTCGAATCAGGGTTACTCTGGCGGCTCGGTGAAGAAGAGGTAAGAGGGTGGTAAGGACAAAAGTTCTACAACCAGAGTGGGGGCTCCTGCAAAATCCAGACGGAAAGATAGGACAAATGATAAAAGTGGACGTTAGCATGTTGCTGGTATGCACCTTGACAGATAAATGACAAATCATATAACACCGTGTTAACATCCTTACAAAATACTACTCTGTGTTTTGTTACCGTGGACAAAGCTAAGGCTTTAGTTGTACAGACCTTATCTTGTGACCCCGATGGCATCTCTTCTAGAGTCTCGGTGCTTCCCAGATTGGAGAGCTGACTACTTGGCTGTAACCCAGGGCTGGAGATATTGGAGTCGCCCATCTGATTCTGTAATTAAAAGGAAAAGTATATCATGTGAAAACTTTGCTATTATTTGGCTAGCAAAACATCATATGTACTAAGCTATCAAAATTAACATGTACCCGGGCTGAAGTTTGGGGCTTTTTTTTTTTTTTTTTTTAAATCTAGTCTCTTGAGAGTGCTCTAAACTGTTTGTGGTGTCTGTTTTGACATGGGTAATAGTCAGCAGATGCTGGATCAGAGAGCTCAAATATAACTTTAGTTTCTAGAGTGTGTAATTCCACATCCATCTAGTGATCTTTTTTAGGCTTTTCTCTTTTTCTTTTCCTTTTCTTTTTTTTAGCACAGTGTTAGGCACTCCAATGTTAAAAGAATGGCTAAGAGGCATTTTTTTTTTCTATTCAAATGACTTAATCCTTATTTCAGAACATCTTTTACTCAGTGTTTCCCAGTTACCTAGAGGTGAAAGAGTGTGGGAAAGCCTATGAAGTACCTTTTGGAAACATCTAGTACTGAAGTAGCGGACAATTCTCCACGTCACACAGTGCCCATGAGGTAAGTGTGGCCACCAGACAGTCCTACAGCATTACTGACTACATTCCCTGTGCAGTACTGTTCATCCCCGGGACTCACTCGTTTTCTATCTGGCAGCCTATACCTCTTAACCCCCTTCAACTATTTCACCTGCTTATAAAACAGCTTCATCTCCCACCACCTCTTTATGCAACACCACCAACATCCTTTATCAACACATTATGGAGAATGCCTGGAATTAAACTGTATCAGAGATAAGCTCAAAACACTGCTCACAGCAAGTTCCCAGAACAGAAGATATAAAATGCTCAGAAGCATTTTTAAAATTGAGTTTGCACATAAAAATCCCAGCTTGTTATTTTCAGGGAGAGGCTGGATACCTTGGCAACAACCAGCCAGAGCTGAGCTGCAGGTGACCCTCTGATGCCGGGCCAGGCTCTGTCTGCATCGGGTCCACCCCGACCCGCTGCACGTGCTCCCGTGGCCCATGTGGTTTGGGGGGCAGCTGAGTCTCCTATATTTACTCAACATGAGCTACAAGATGGGTTATGCTTTAAAAGGTCTTGGGAACTTCAGATATTTTTTCATACATGTGCAGGACTTTTCTTGGAAAGTTTCCTGAGTATGTTGATGACACTCTAGTATTTGTATGGATTGGGGGAAGTGGACAATCAAAAACTTTCTTGAGGTTAATTTTACAATATTTGGTAAAAACCTTAAAAATGTCAAAATCCACAGCACATACCCTCCCCAAAGACTGATGAATCACAGACCTGTACCCCTGAAACAAATAACACATTATATGTTTAAAAAAAAAAAAAAGTCAAAATCCTTTGATCTACCAATTCCATTTCAAGTAATTTACCTTAAGAGAAAATGTCCAACATGAAGACTTAGCTACAGGATATATTTCTGAGTTCTTAAGAGAATCACAAAAAACCCCCAGCGTATTGTTTATGTAAGGCATGGAAGGAAAAATATGCAGCTATTAATATCATTGTTCTCTTTTTCAAAGACTTTTCATTCTACCAAAAGCAATCTCACAAGGACTCCCTGTGAGAGGAACAGCTACCGTCACAAAGACATTGCTCTTTGGGAAAAAAACTAGTTATGAAAGAGTTAATAAAATAGACTTTTAAAACTAGTTAATAAAAGTAGTGTAGAGAAATGTACCACACACACTGGGACATATTTATACATACTTTTGGAAGGATACATAATCAAGTATTATCAGTAATTATTTCTAGGTGGTGGGACTGTGTCTTTTTCTTCTCCTCTAATCTTTAAATATAAAATACAAACAACCCCACAAAAATCTAGGATAATTTCTGTGGTTAGAAGCAACGCAACAAGGAGCAACTGTAAAGAACTGTGGGCTTAGCTATCTTTCTTTACATTAAAAAAGGTAAGTTGGTCGAAACAAACTATGGGACTGCCAGGGAGGTGTTTACTATAGACTGTTCTTATCTCCAAGCAGTTTCTATTATAAATCCTTTACCCCAAAATCTGGAATTTCATTCATTGCATGACACACAGTGGATGGGGGAGTTTTAGGATTGGGAGCACATCCCATTGCTGAGGTGTGGTTTGTAACCTGCCCTTGACTCTGTCAATCTAAGTCTCTACCTAAAGATAAACGAAGGAGCCATCTGGAACCATGCCACAGCTGAGAGCGTGCACGCAAACACTGAGATATGAATTCATGGGTCACTGCTAATACCAAGCCCATTTGGTGAGATGACAGGCAAGTGCAGATAAGAAAACAAAACTGTTCTTTCAGGAAGCTCCGTCTATGTACAGATAGTTTTCAAAAACAGAAATAATGCGTCATAAAGTAATTACCAAAGATTTGACTAAGTTCCCAAAGGTTTTAGTTTTAGACATCATTTTATTGATCCCACACCATGGGAACATTTTCTTTACAACAGTTCTTTGCTACGGTGCTCCCCATATTCCTACTTTCACAATGTGTATTAACCAGGAATCAGGTCAGATTTTCAGACTGCCTGCTTGACCTCAAGTTCCTTGACAGCTCTGTGTACAAAAACTAAGCTTCTGTTCCTCTTTCATTTTGTGGCCACTCTCTCCTTAGCCTGAGGAGTAGGCTGGGGCACCTTCTAGAACGCCAGCTCTGGTGTACAGGCCCGACACTTTCTGTCCTGTGTGACAGCACGGTGACCTAGTCATCACTACGTATGCGCCACGGAGCCCTGGGTTTATTAGTTACCTGCTATCAGAACACAGAAAAGCCTCTACAAAAACTGAAAGAGGCATCTGTGTAGATAATCCAGATCTTATTAAGGATATGAGGGGACCTGGGGGGAATATAAGGTGACCTGCAAGTACAAAAAGTGATTCTTAAAATTTATTCTCATCCAGCTCCCTAGACATCAATGAATCTACTACAGAGATGACTGCTTTTCCTATATTAATTTTCACAGATCCAGAAATTCCTCCTAATTCTCTATGAGACACTGAGGCATTTGGTATAACTTGAAACTTCTCATGGACTCCACTGTATACTTCTCTACACCGGAGATGGGCCTTCCTTTGGTGTCTAAATAGAACTTCCTTTATCAGAGGAAACTCCCTTCCAGAGCACTACTTCCAAAGTTTGCTTCCTAAACTAGATTTTTGAGATGCAAAGGGGAGTATGTGAAAAATGGTCCTGTGGTTAAATTAACTTGGGAATTTATTATAGGACCTCTCAGAGTCTTGAGCATTGCTTAGCCCCATGAAGATGGGGGAAGAGGAGCCACGTAAACAATGTTTCCTTAACTCACTTGACCAACTGGAACCTTTCCGTAAGGATCACTTGCTAACCATGTAGAGGCTACTGTTAGAGCAGAACCGTTTGGGAAATACACCAGAGAGTGGTTTTCATACCTTATTCCTTAAACTTTGGGTGAGGTGAGGATTACACAAAAAATGAAAGAAAATACTTAACGAAATACGAGTAGAGAGTAAGGTGACAATTATAATTCCATGACAACAAAGTGCCGCAGTGGGAACCTTCAGTCCTGCTCCTAGGAAGCGTGGGCTCTGAAGTGCCCACGTCAAGCAAAAAGCCAGGATAGTTCCGAAGCCAAATGTGCAGTTTGAAGACCACTAAGGAAATATGCACTGCCTGACACACAGTAGACAGTTCGTAAGTGTGTATTAAATAAATTAACAAATGTACTGCAACTTCCATTTTATTCAACCTGGGGAGGAAATGTTATGATTTAACTTTTAAACTAACACACAAAAGAGAAGAAAAAAAAAAAAAAAGAATTCTAGAAAAGCTTCTCATGTGGGTAAAATCTAAATGCTGCTTATTAAAGGCCGTGAACCCACCACTAATTAGAGACCATAAATATACCCTTTAGTATTAGCAGGTGCAAATGATCAGACTACATAAATTCCTAAGCCCTAGCAAAGACTGCAGGGGCGAACAACAGGCAAGAAGCTTTTTCAGAACTACCTGTTGCAGGCTAACTTCTGCACCCTGAAACCATTTTCTCCCATAGTAATGACAGAAAAAGAACATTCTACACTTTCATGCCAGCTCAAGGACTCTGAGATAAGCAAATTTCTTTCCCTGTCTTTTGGGCTAGAAACAGTAAGATGCACTTTCTTTTTGGACTAATTCTCTCTCCCGGCCTTGAGGTAACTTCTACAGCACATGAGACCCTGGCAGGCCTCCTCCCCTCTTGGTCCTCCCAGTCAGCATCTCACCCTCTCATATTCATCCTTGGCTCTGCTTAGCATCTCCAGGATGTCGATGGGCCTGTGATCACTGCAGCCATTGGCCTGGCTGGGACTCTGCTTGTCCCGAGCAGCTTGCTGGGACCGCCGTGTCTCCTCTTCTACAACACTAGTGGAAGAGAAACAGGTTTCAGAAAGACTTCTTTAGACACAACCTGACCCATGAACTCTCCTGGTGCTCGTCTTCTCAGGAAATGGAAAGAACGTCGTAGGATACACAGCCCTCCCAATACAAACGCAGGGCCTCGGTTACCTCATCCTGGGACTACGTGACTGACCGCTTCACCAGCTCATGCACAGCAATGCCGACTGATGGTGTCTCACTGTTAGGAAAGAAGTATGGAACCTCTTCTAGCATTGGTGGGAGCAGTAAGTTAAAAAAGACAAAATTATTTCTTTCTCTTTTTTGAAGTCTCTCAGACTCAGTCAAGTACCAGGTAGAGTACATTTTCAGATGGACATGCCAGCAAGACAAAGGCAGGCTGCAGAGCTGAGGAGCCCACTGTGCAAATTTTGTACCGACACCGGACTACCGAAGAGGGAGAGGACCTTCTTGAGAAGAGAGGTCTCAGGGAATCTTCAAAGGTTTCCCTTATTCTCTTCTTAGAAATCAGTGAGTGGGTGGTTGAGGTCAGGGTGATTGTGGCAATGCTCTTTATTCTGATTGGTGCTTACGCTAATTCTGCACTTGAAAATACATAAAGCGAGAAAAGCTGAAGGTTAAGAATGCCACTGATAGGTTCTTTTTAAAGTTCATTTAGGTTTTAATCCCAGCTTTACTGAACAGGCTCATCAGCCACAGGTTATTATGGGCACAGACCCAGCTTGATAACTGTATGAACTGAGAATCTTCTGGATAGTGATAAGGATAGGCAATAAAATAATTCAGGAGCAAAAGTTTTGAGTTTTTGTTTCTGAATAACTGAAGTAGGACAAGAACAGGCTGCTCAGTGTATGTTCGCTGCTTTAAGACAGCCTGCCCAGGAGCTCCCATTAATGTGTGGGGGATGGTTCTTGTATTCGAAAACATTACACAATACTAAACAGAGCCTTTATTTTTTAAACAGCAGAATCATTTGCAGTTTTTAACATGCTAACATGTATTATGATTCTCCAAGAAGGGTGGGCTTATAAATTTTCCCAAGTTTATTTGACCACAGAATCTTCTCCTGAGGTGGGATTTGTTTGGAAAATGCTACTTTAAGATAATGTCATTTCTCTATCTAGAATCTAATAGCTCTGAATAGGATGACAGGTCAATTTTTTTTTTTTTTTTAAAGATTTTATTTATTTGACAGAGAGAGCGAGAGAGCACAAACAGGGAGAGGGAAAAGCAGGGTCCCCACTGAGCAGGAGGCTGATGTGGGGTTCAATCCCAGGACCTGGGATCATGACCTGAGCTGAAGGCAGATGCTTAACTGACTGAGCCACCCAGGCAACCCTGGGATGATTATTTCTAAAATGAATGTACAATCATAGACTTTACAGTAGAGTGAAAGAAGACCTGTATGTGATATGAGGATCTGACCAATTAGAATCAATACTGTTTCTTTTATATTCATACTGGGAAAGGAAGATTGTATTGTCACAGCTGTGGGGTCTGCTGCAAAGGAAAAGAAGACTGGATAGACATATTGGTTATTTCTTGATGGTGGGTCACAAGCAATTTCACTTTCCTTTTTTGCACTTTTCTTCATTTGCCATAATTAACAGGTGCTCCTTTAATAATCAGGAGAAAAAAAGATTGCTATTTCAAGTGACTTGTATTTACAATCAGTTATAGGCTGCACTGGTCTGAATCCACCTTTTCTCAGGACTCTGGTCATGCAGCCTATTTCTCCTACCTCCTGCCATGCTGCCTGGCTTGCCCAGGCTGGCACTCCTCTTCCCCCTGACCTGGACAGGATCTGTAATTTTGATTCGAAAGAATAACATTTTTTTTCTTTTCTTTCCCTTTTTTTCCTTTCCCCTTTCCTTTCTTTTTCCTCCCTCCCTTCCTTCTTTCCTTCTTCTCTCTCTTTCTAAATAAACTTTATGCCCAAATAGAGCCTGAACTCCTGACCCTGAGATCAAGAGTAGCGTACTCTACTGACTGAGCCAGCTAGGCACCCCCAAAGGGAAGAACACTTCTAGCAGTCACCACTGCTCACCGGTGGAACAGGCCACCTTACAAAGCTCACCACTGCTGTAAGCAGAAGCTATCCAGATGATAGAAGCGACAGGAATGATGCTTGGACTCTGAAAGGCCTTTTCCAATCCAAACTCTGTGAGGAACACCCCTGCCTCTTGCCCTTCTCTCAAATATGCTCCAAGCCTATCTGTAAAATCAGGAATAAAGCTTACTTCCACGAGTTCCCCAAATCTCATAGCTTATATAAATAAGTGTTTATTGTTTTGTTTTGTTTTTTTTTTTAAGATTTTATTTTTTTATTTAGTTGACAGACAGAGATCACAAGTAGGCAGAGAGGCAGGCAGAGAGAGAAGGGGAAGCAGGCTCCCTGCTGAACAGAGAGCCCTATGCGGGGCTAGATCCCAGGACCCTGGGACCATGACCTGAGCCGAAGGCAGAGGCTTTAACCCACTGAGCCACCCAGGCACCCCAAGTGTTTATTGTTAAGAAAAGTTTCTGGCAGAGTGGATTTCCTCTTTAGGAGAGTCAGCATTTCCTAAGTTTAGTGGATTTTCAACTTTGCCACTGACTAGAGAGGATTTCCAAATTCGGATACAGTACAGGTCTAGAAGTTTGCTTGTTCTCCCACACAAACATCTTTTGGAATACGTCAATTTCTTTACTTGGAGAATTGTTACCATATTGTGGCTGCGGAACAGTGATTGAACAGGATGGGCACCGACAAGCACAGTTATTGACACATAATATGTCCATCCCAGGGTCACCTGTGTTTCTGGTTGGCAGAGATGATATTCTGAAATATGTGGCAAAGAGTGGCTGTACACAGGCAAAGTCAGAGCAAGGAAAGATAAAGTAGTCTTTTTTTATCTTTGGTGACCAGAACACCATTTATCACAAAGTTAATGTTAACATATAAGGTATTCTCTTTGGCCATAAATAGGTCAGACACTTAGAACTCTTTATCAACAGTTTCATAAGGGCACTCTAATCACTTTCAATACCTCCCCCGCTTCTAGTAAAATCAGCTGAAAGCATAAGCAAATGGGTCTCTTTGGGGCATTTCTTATGAAAGAACCCAAAGGCTCTTCTTTTCCCTTCTGCTTTTTGTTTCTACTTTCTCTCCCTATTTTGGTTCCATACAATATTTTCAGATAGGCCTTCAGTCTTCTGCCTCATTTACCTGATGTCTTACATGAGGGTTATCAATGGCCCTGATAGTTTATAAAAAAGCTCAAATTGCTTCCCTGTAAATAGCTGTTAAAGCTAAAAGAGACACAGTTCTCACTTGGGGACCCCAAAGCTCTCAATCTGCAGGAGACAGTCTATATATTAATATATTCCAAAGTTTGGATATTTAGGGAAAATATTCTGGATTTCAGAATAACCAAGACTCAGCAAATCTGTGTCTTCTAAGTAATTAGAAGTAGAGTGCCTTTGCTGTAACTTTCAAAACTACAAAAAAGTAGTCATCAAATAAGCAAATGGCTTTGTAAAAAACAGTTTTAATTAATTAATTTCCTGAGAAAAAGTGTTGTAAAAAGAAAGTGTGGTTCACGTTTTCAAGCCTGAGGGATCCAAGTTCATTTGGAACACTGTCTGCAGGGGTGTGTGCCCAGAGTAATAAACATGGGCACCCCGTGAGCTCACAGCCCAAGCAAACAAAGCAGGAGGCTGACGAACATCCCATCAGGCCATGTGAGTGGTCCTGGATTAAAATGTCACCATAGCCATGTGTGCTTCTTGTAAAATGCAAATACACCTGGAAGTGAGGTTTGGGAGCTAATTATTTACTTATACATTTACAGAAATTAGTGTAAAATTGGCCTGTTTTAACATGCTAAAAATGAAGACTGTTTTCTTCCAAAGATGTAGGTAAGAACCTTGGAGGAGAGCAAAGGGAATTCTGATTGGACAGAGGGGGCTCCACATCTCTGAGGAGATTCAGGTAAAAACTGTGTGAGGGAAACACAGGTGAGCCAGAACACACTGCCCGCTGCAGCGCTCTGACCAGAGCCGTGTTTTACCGTGGGCACCCTCAGCACCAGTATCTTGGGCTCCCAGAATGCAGACCAGCAGTGCCAGCAGCACAGGTAAGCCAGGCGGCTCCCAAGGGCTGGCCTGAGAAAGAACAGTGAGTCCCCCTTCAGCACATTAATTCAATGAAATTACTCTCCCAATTCCAAGATTCCGACATAGAAAACATTTACTGGAATACAACCTGGTGGTGAACTAGGGACTACTAAACCTAAAATTGGTGTGAAGACGAAGTTCACTTGAGGAAAGCATGTGCAGGAGTTCTCCACCAGCCACTGAACGTGGCACCACTCGTCAGAGTGGAAACCTGGAGGGAGCCTGCAGTAAAAGTCCTTTAGTAAAGCCCCTGCAGCTGATGGGAAGGCTGTGCCCTGGGTGTCAATGGTATCCTCTGGGGTTAGGCAGTCTGACAGCCCTAAGCACATCACCCAACCTAATGTACAAATAAAGAAAAAGACTAGAAGGAAACGGACTAAAACCCTGACAATGGGGGACGCCTGGGTGGCTCAGTTGGTTAAGCGGCTGCCTTCGGCTCAGATCATGATCCCAGCGTCCTGGGATCGAGTCCCACATCGGGCTCCTTGCTCTGCGGGGAGCCTGCTTCTCCCTCTGCCTCTGCCTACCACTCTGTCTGCCTGTGAAATGCTCTCTCTCTCTCTCTCTCTAACAAATAAATAAATAAAATCTTTAAAAAAAAAAAAAACAAAAAACCCTGACAATGGAGTAGTAGGATTACAGATGATTCTAGAGTTCTCTAAGGTTTTCTGCCTCTAACAAACTTTGACAATAAACAGGAAATCAGGAAAGAAATAAATGAGTTAGTAGACTCAGGAACAAAGAGAAGGGTTCAAGTCATTTCTTCATCTCTCATATATCACTAATCGAATCTATGTTGTGATATAAATACTTACTCGGCCATGAGTTTGGCTATGCGGTGACAGTCATTCTTGTCATAAAACCAGATGCTGTATATCGACACTTGAAAAACAAAGGAGAGAAAAAGATGAGGGGAAATGAGGTTTCAACATTTGGGTGTACGTAAGTACTACATTATCACCATGGAATGTCACAGAATTTACCATGAAACCCTCAGATTGTTAAGAGTTCCTCTAAAGAAAAAAAAGCCTCTCCCCTACACTGTTTAATAAAATTATTAATAAAATTAGGATAGGCAAAATATCCAGATGAAAACTGAAAGCTTGTTTTTGGGCGGGATTACTAGATCTCGCGGAGTCCAAGGAGCCACTAAGTGCGAGCAGCACCATTATTTTATGTATTATCAAGAAAGAAAAACACCACCAGTTAAATTCTAACATCGATGTAAGATGCATTCCAAATGGATATCAAAATATGAAAAAAAAGTGTCTTAGTTACTGAAAACCCAGTTCACCCATCAGCTAATCGAAACACCAGGACCTCTACCAGTCTCCTGAAGCTTGAAATAGGGAATTAGTAGTTCCAGTCAAAACAGACACCAGCTCCAGACCCAGCGCATGACCAGCACCATTCACATAGGAACCGGAAGTGCCGGGGCTGGGCTCAGTCTATCACTCTTCTTACTTTTCCTTTTTCATTCCTAGCATGGATCGTGTGGTCAACACTAAGAGAACCCTCAGAAGATATCTGGTAAGTAGGTAAATGAACCTTATTATTACTAAAGGTAACAATACGTAAAAATGACTAAATAATTTCTGAATAAGGTGGAGTAGAAATATTGAATACTTCAGTCAAAATAAACGTAAGGATAGCTAGGACTCACTGTTACCACGTGTACCCACTGTAACCCTCACAGCCTGGCTCAGGCTGCACCTCCCTTCATACTTATGATGACCGGTACAGGAAGTGTAGGTATCACAGGCCTTTCTTTTTATAATAAACTTTTTTTTTTTTTTTAAACACAGGAGGCAGGATTTTTCAGTGGGCATGAATAAGGAGGGGGCAGTGCCAGTTCTCATGAGTGCATAGCCTGTCGTTTGTCCAAGGGGCCATTATTAGGGATATAACTGACCCACAGCATCTGGGATGAGGGGCTTTTCAACCATCATGTCTTCCAATTCATCTGCATTAAACTTCTTGGAAATGTGGATCTTCCTGTGGCCAGGGAACTTGAACTTGGCCCTTTGTATGGCCTTACTCACATGCTCCTTGCTCTGCAACTTGGTAAGGATGGACATGATGACTTGGCCAACTGTGGACCCTGGCCACTGTACCCTGGGCCTTTCCAAAGGCGCTCTGCCTGTCTGTCTGGAGCACCTCCACCCCAGCATAGGACGGTATTGTGTTGATACAGAGGATATGGAAGGGGGAAAGCTGCACTCGGATGTGAAACCATCACTGCCACAGCTTTTCACCATGTACTTGTCGGCACAAATATGGGCAGCCTCCAGGGCTTCAAAGGAGAGCTGCTCATACTCATCTGAGACCATGTTGCCACATAGTAGGTACTCATCCATTTTTGTCTTCTTCCACCTCGTGTCAAAGATGCAGATCTTGGCATCAGGGACGCCTCTGTAGAATTGAGACTTTGGATATGGCTTGTTCTTATGATACCAGTAACATGGGTTGTGTGGCAGCCCATGGCGACAGCAGGGTGGCACCCCGAAGGAAGATTGTTAAACTTTTAATTTTGACCTAATTGTAGCTTCACACACAATTGTAAAACACAAACGGAGAACATGTGTGCCCTCTGTTTCTTCCAATGGTAACATTTGTAAAGTTGTAACATAATATAGCCAGGCATGGTCACAAGGAACCCTGGTGTCCTTCTATAGTCACACCCTCCCTACTTGGTCCCTCTCCCCTGTCTCTGACCCCTAGCAAACACACTAATCTGTTCCCCATTTCTTTAATATTGTATTTCAAGAATGTTCTATGTTGGGGCACCTGGGTGGCTCAGTAGGTTAAAGCCTCTGCCTTTGGCTCAGGTCATGGTCCCAGGGTCCTGGGATCGAGCCCCGCATCGGACTCTCTGCTCAACAGGGAGCCTGCTTCCTCCTCTCTCTCTGCCTGCCTCTCTGCCTACTTGTGATCTCTGTCAAATAAATAAATAAAATCTTAAAAAAAAAAAAAAAGAATGTTCTATGTTATAAATGGAATTACACAGAATGCGACTTTCTGAGATTGACTTTTCTGATTCAACATAATTCTCTGGATATTGATCCAAGTTGTTGCTTGCATCAAATAGTTCATTCCCCTCTACCCTCTCCAACCCCCCCTTTTGTTTGCTGAGTAGTATATTTCATGGTATGGATGTACCTGTTCAACCATTTATCCATTTGAGGATATGTGATATGTTTCCAGTTTTCGGCTACTACGAATAAAGCTATAAATGTTAGTGCAAAGGTTTTTGTGTGAACGGAAGTTTTCCTCTCTGGGCTAAATGCCCCAAAGTACAATTACTGAGTCACAGCAGTTGCATGTTCAGTTTAATAAGAAAGTCTTAACCTGTTCCCCAGAGTAACCCACCAGCAATGTATGAGCAATCCAGTTTCTCTGCATCCTTGCCAGCATTTGTTGTTCTATTTTTAACTTCCTCCATTCCGCACTGATAGGTGTATAGTGACATCTCATGGTGGTTTTAGTTTATATCTCCCTAATAGCTAAAAATGCTAAGCATCTTTTCAGGTCCTTCTTTGTCATCCATATATCCTGTTTAGTCAAATGTCTGTTCATGTCTTTTGCTCCTTCTAACTGATTTTTTAAAAAAATATTTACTTTTTTTCATTTACTTGAGAGCGAGTGAGCGAGCACGAGTGGGAGGGGCAGGAGAGGGAGAGAGAATCTGAAGCAGACTGCGCTGAGCATGGAGCCTGATGTGAGGCTCAATTCCATGACCCTGAGTCGAAACCAACAGTCTGAGGTCCAACTGACTATGCCACCCAGGAGCCCCCTAATTGATTTTTCTTTTTTTTTTTTCCTGTTGAATTTTGTGAGTTCTTTATATATTCAAGATACTAGTCCTCTGTTGGATATATATGTGGTTTGAAGATATTTTCTCCCTGTCTGTAGCTTGTTTTTCATCCTCTTAATAAGTGCTTTCCAGAGCAAAAGTTTTTAATTTTGACAAGGTCCAATTTATTAATTTTTCCTTTTATGGATCATGCTTTTGGTGTCAAGTCAAAGAATTTTTTGCTGATAGACCCCTAGTTCCAAAAACTTTTCCTAAAAGGTTTACAGTTTTACATTTCAGTCAGTGATCCATTTTGAGTTAAGTTTTCTAGAAAAATGTTTAGGTTAAGGTCCTTTTCTTTTTCTTTTCTCTCTCTTTTTTTGGGGGGGGCCTAATTGCTCCAGCATTATTTGTTGAAAATGCTCTCCTCCCTCTCTCTTTTTTAAAAGATTTATTTTAGAGAGAGAGAAACTTCAGCAGACTCCTCACTGGGCTTGGAGCCCAACTCGAGGCTCAATCTCACAACCCTGAGATCAAGACTTGCACTGAAACCAGGAGTCAGATGCTCAACTGACTGCGCCACCGAGGGGCCCCTGCTCTCCTCTCTCTATTGAGGAATCTTTTTTACCTTTGTCAAATGGCAGTTGGGCATATTTTTGTGGGTCTATTTCCTATTTTGTGTATTTCATCCCATTTATTTATGCATGTATCCCTCCACCAATACCACGCTGTCTTGATTATTGCTGCTATATAGCAGGCTTTAATATTGGGTAGAATAATTCCTCCCACTTTATGCATCTTTTCCAAATTGTTTTAGCTTCTACAGCCTATGCCTTTCCATATAAGTTTTAGAATCGTTTGTTTATGCCTACAAAAATCTTTGCTGGTATTTTGAAAGGAAGTGCTTTAAACCTATAGACTAATTTGGAAATAGGTGAATTTGTACTATGTAGAGTTCTTCAATACATAAATACAGTCTACTTCTCCATTTATTCAGGTTTTTAAAAAAAATTCTTTCATTAGTATTTTGTAATTTTCAGCACACAGATCCTATACATGTTTTGTTAACTTTATGCCCAAGTACTTAATTTTCTTTTTAAGAATTATAAATGGTAGGGTTTAAAAAAAAAAGTCTATTTATTTATTTTTATTAATCTCTACACTCAATGTGTGGCTCAAACTCACAACCCTGAAATCAAGAGTCACATGCTCTTCCGACTGAGCCAGCTAGGCACCCCAAAATGGTAGTTTTTAATTGTGACTGATTTTTGAGTGTTGATCTCGTATCCTCATAACTTACACCAAACTCATTAGTTCTAGAAATTTGTACCTAGACAGTCCTCTTATCTGTGAATAACACCTTCATTATTTCTTTCTCTTTCCTTTCTATTCCAATATGTATGCCTATTTTTCTTTCTTGCCTTACTGCAGTGGTTAGAACTTTCAGTGCTGTGTTGCAAAGCTGTGTTGACTGTGGACATCCTTGCCTTATTCTCAATCTTAGAGGTAAGACACTCACCCTTTCACTATAAATATAATGTTGGCTGTAAGTCTGTTGTAGATGCTCTTTATCAAGATGACATAGTTCACTTCGATTCCAACTAGAGAATTTTTATCATGAATGGATATATAATTTTTTTCCTGCATCAAAAAACACAAAATATGATCACATGATATTTCTATTTCATATTTAGTCTTGATATGATGGAGTAAATTGACTGATTTTCAATACGGAACCAGCTTTGCAACTCTGGAATAAAACCCATTTGGGCATCACTTATATCTGTTTTCTCAATATTGTTGGGTGTGCTTTTATTTGGTTGAGGATTTTTTTTAACCTAGTTCACGAGAGATATTGCTTTGTGGGTTTTGTTGTTGTTGTTGTTTTTTGTACAGTCTTTGCCTTGTTTGGGTATCAGAGTAATGCTGGCTCTGTAAAATCAGTTGACAACTGTTCTTTCCCTGTCTGTTTTCTTGAAGAAACTGTAAAATTAGTGTTAATTCTTTGAACTCTCCAGTAAAACCATCTGGGCCTGGATATTTTTTTCCTTTTAAATTATTAATTCAATTTCTTCAGGGGCTAAAGGAT